TCCTCTTAATGAAATACGGCTGGGAGCCCCGTTCGCGAAAAAATCTTCCAGTATTTGAGATATACACAGCGAATCAAGATAAATGCACTCCTTCTTCCTGGTTCTTTACAGTCATACAAACACACCATCCTTACACCCAAATTCATATAACATGTTCATGTGTCTCCAGACATTGACACAGATTCCTCGTTCGACATCTCCAAGGACAATGAACATGGCAGGGAATTTGACGGCAGCTGGAAGTTCTGATCATCATTGCATCCATGTCGAAGCCCAACAAAGACCGCAGCCCACTGCCTCTTAACCTTGTATAATATCTCTACTCAACGCTCTGTCATGCTTTTGGATACTGCATCGCTACGCAGCACTCTATAATGCTATTCTATATGCACTGAGATCTGCCATCTGGCAAACCTGGTAGCCATGTAATATTCTGTATATATAGCTATGCCTGCTACATGCTGCTTCAATCTATAAGAATCATGCTTGCCACCGTTACAGCTATCATGTTCGAAATCACCATACTGATGTTACATGTTATTGTCACCATCATGAGGCACTCTAAGATCCTTTACTCTCGCGCGCAAGAGCGCGCGCCCTCCACTAGTTCTCATTATGATGAGTAGGCGACTCCTACCTTTGCACTTTGCTTGTGCTTTTTCCCTCTCATGGTGATAGTTGTTATACGCTCTGTTCGCTTGGCTTATAAGCCGTACTTTTTCAGCCAACGAACAGTATTTTTCTCTCACAACAAATCAGCCAACAGTACTTTCAGTCGTGGCTTATCAGGCAAGCGAACAGGGCAATAGCTCCATACCATGTGACCAGATTTTCTTTAGGCTCTTTGCCAGCGGTGAGTAGCACCACGTACACCCACCTATTTGTCTTATCTTCCCTAAAGGCTTGTTTGTTTACCCTCCAATTTGAGGTGGTTCAAGGGGAATATTGACTTGCAAGGGCTTGAATCCCACTCAATCCCCTCGAATTGGAGACTAATCGAATAAACCTGACATGGGATACAAACACCCAAATCTTAGGATGGCAATCGTTCACTTTTGGACCCGAGACCAAAGGGTTTTAGATTCGATGGAAATGAGGCAGGTGCAATTCTACACCCCATGGCGCTATAGCCTCGGGGCTTTGAATCGGATTAGGGTGAAGACAAGTTTTGATTTTGAAAAAGTCCCTTCTACCTCTTTAAACTATCCTCAAACTCCAAAAGTAGACATTTTACCCCCACCCACCCGGAACTCTTAAACCGTTCAAATTACATCACTGCCTTGGTTTGAAAGTGGTTTTGGATTTTGTGTACCCCAACCTATCTTCAGATTATTTTTTAAAAAAAATATTGAAAGCGTAAAGACATTTTCTGTTGTTTAAAAACCTTAAGTATTTACCGACTTTTTAATAACTAAAAAAGAGACAAAACTACCTTAAAAACCACTCCAAAGTAGGGTAGGGAGATAATTTGAACAGTTTAGAGAACTCAATTTTTTTTCAAAATTTTTGAAGGCGTAAAGTCATTTTCTGTTGTTCAAAAACCTCAAGTATTTACTGACTTTTTAATAACTCAAAAAGAGACAAAACTACCTTCAAAACCACTCCAAAGTAGTGTAGGGAGATATAGTGTAGGGAGATAATTTGAATGGTTTAAAAAATTCAAGGAATAAATGTCTGATTTTATTGAGAGTTAAAATGAAGAAAATCATACTATAACGATAATAATTTAAGAATGTATGATAGAGTTTTTCCTTTTGATTTTGCCCCACCGTGACCACGGGCCACGGCTCTCCAAAATTGAAGTATAGCGATCAATTTAGCCCACTAAATCAGCCACGACCGGCCAGCACAAGCAATTTTCTTTTTTATTTTCAAGAAATATACCGGCTGCAATAGTTTTTTTGGGGTGCCCCAGCAGCGGTGTTGCCGCATCCACGCCCTAGTCAGCCTTGCCCCCAGCCACACCCCGTCGTCGCTGGCGCCTCGTATCCGTAACAGCTCCACCGCCCCCCGCATCTTGCCGGCTGCATTGTCCTCCGGTGCTCCGAAGGTGAGCGCCAATCCCCAACCACAATTCACAAGGTTTGAATTCTGTAGTAGCAATGGTGGACACAGTCTTGTAACATTGGGTATTACAAATATATATTTTTTCCTAATACTTATCTATTTCTTAGATATTTTTAGCATACAAGAATATCTAGACCTAGAGTATCCTCGTTTTTGCTATGAAACATGACAGACATTCTCATATATACTCATTGTTTATCTAGAAAGTTCTACAAATATGCATCAATATCTTTAGTACTAGCATTTAATGTATACTTATCTCTATTAGTCGTGTATGATACTATCTTTAAATCTTTTATGCTTTGCCATCTTGGCCTCTACTCTAGTGGCATGCTCTGCTCTTCCTTCATCTCGTACATTTTTTTATGTGAACATCACTCCTTTAGATACACATGATACTCCTCAAATTTGTTAACAAAAACATGAGATGGCGCACTTGACATGTGGATCCATCTATAAGCCTATAGTCTTTCTGTTTTCTTTGTTAACAAAAACATGAGATGGCACACTTGACATGTGGATCCATCTATAAGCCTATAGTCTTTCTGTTTTCTTTGTTAACAAAAACATGAGATGGCACACTTGATATGTGGATCCATCTATCAGCCTATAGTCTTTCTGTTTTCTTTCTTCTCTCTCCTTAGTCGGTTCTTCCTACTTCTAATCCATCCGCAGAGGGCGGCGGCTGCCTCCTCTCCCCTCGTGGCCGAGCTCGCCCCAATGTTCCACAGGGTGCTCGCCTAGGCGCGCTTATGCGCTAGTCGGAGGGGCACCGCCTTGCCTGAGGGGGTAGATGGAGAATAGGCGGCGTGCCCCAGATCCAGGGCCGTGCTGCTTGAGGGAGGGATGACAGGTGGCGGCGGAGGCGGAAAGCGCGCCTGGAGGAGGCTAGCGGTAGGCTTGGCTAGGAGGATGGCACGCTATGGGCGAATGGCGAGGAGGCAGGCGGGCGGATGGGGGAGGAGGCGAGAGAGGCGATGGGTGCGAGGTTGCATAAGGTGACGATCGGTGGAAGGAGATAGAGGCGGCCGACAAGCAAGTGAGGCGTGGGCGAGAGGAGGCAGTGCAGGGAGGTGGATGGATAAGGTTAGATGGAGTGTTGACTTAGGTCAGGAAGGATAAGGTACCGTAGGTAAGGTGGACTAGGCCTTTTTAACATTTCTATTTCTATATAACTTTAAGTCCATAATTTCTTGTTTTTATTTATTTAATAAGATAATAATATATGTAGATGTATAGAACACTAGAGAATATCTAGGCGCCCCAAAGCTCTAGGCGAGTCACCTATGGATACCGCATAGCATTTTTTCTAGGGTTAATTGATACATACCATTACAAATATCACGGTTTGGAGAGATATACCATTACTATTTAGATATTAAAAACGTGCCATTATAATTTCACACATCTCCAAAAGTTTTTAGTACACCCCTTCCATGCAATTATCCTAATTTCTGGTGTTTGGTTAGACCTCCTAAATTTTTAGTCCCATCGAATGTTTGGTAGACCCTAATTACATAGAATATTTGAGATCGCCTAATTAATCATAGAGTATTAAATATAGATTAATTACAAAACTAATTACATAGTTTATGATTAATTTCCGACTCTATGCGAATCTTTTAAGCCTAATTAAGCCATGATTTAACAATGTTTGCTAGGGCCTTGTTTAGATATGCTAATGATTTGGACTTTTGTTTGTATTTGATAATTATTGTCCAATTATGACCTAACTAGGCTCAAAAATTCGTCTTGTAATTTACAATCAAACTATGTAATTAGTTGAAATATGTTCAACGGATTATATAATTTATTTTTTTATTAGCATCCAAACACTCTATGCAACATTCTTTTGACGTACCTTCTAAATTTAAGTCGTCGAAACCAAACACCACCTAAATCGCCTTCATCTCCTTCCTCTTCTCCCTTTCCTCTCTCTCTCCCGTTTCGTACGAGATGCACCACAGCGGCGGCACGCTGACCGGCGTGTGCTGTACCCGCACGTGAAGTTGGCCACAAGAAGCTGAGAGAGAGAGGTAAGGTTAGAAATTTCTGGACTAAATTGCCCTTACCCGCACGCTAACCTTGCTCGACCCTTGGCCCGCGGCCTCCATCCGCTCGCCGCGCCGCAACCCGGAGAGGAGACTGCGCTCGGTCGAGCACCACCTGGGGCCCAGCGTCCTCGCGACCATCTCCGGCACGGCGTCCGCCCTCTGCAGCCCCGGTGTCCCTGCGACCGTCGCTGCTGTCCTACTTCGCCACTCGCCACTTTGGCCGGCGACGAGCACCACCAGGACACTAGGTATTCCCTCCCCTTGGTCCTCCCTTCCCGCTGTGCGAAGCCGTGCGCCCAAACCTTAAGTAATTCATAGGTAAAGTCGTAATCCGATCTGAATCTAATTACAGGTGTATATGCATGTATATGCCTACTAACTTCGATTGCTTTGCAAAAATTATTGGGTGTACATGTGTACACCCATGTCCTTTACTGGGTCCGCCCCTGTGTAGCAGTAAATCAGGAGATCTCGAGCTCTGTTTTGTGGGAAGGGCCACATATTCTAGATGCGAATTTGCTCCATGCGCATGGTCAGGATTGTCTAGAATCGCATATCTGGCACTGTATTGTGTTGTTCTCTTGAACTGATGACCAGGTTAAGTTGAACTGACCCATATTTGCAAGACATGAACTGTATATTCTAGTTCTTATCCTGTATCAGCAATATTATAGGAGTACCAGTTTTCTCATTTCTTAACAATTCCATTGGGCCCAAACCTTGTTTCCGGGTCTGATCTAATTAGAAGTGTATACATGTACTATGCTTACTAACTTTGATTGTTTATGTATTATGACTACTTACTAACTTTGATTGTTCAAAACATATCGGGTGTACATGTTTGCACCCATTCCCTTTAATGGGTCCTCCCTATTGTAGATGACCACAAAACTTGACCATTCTTCTGCGGAGCATCGCCAAGCAAAATCCACAGCGCCATCGTCTTTGACCCCCAAGATCTCAATGTTTGGGGCAAAAGCTGGATTCGTTATACCTAAGAACAAGCTAGCCGGCTCACTCGTAATCCGGAGCACCAGTGCTAAGAATGAAACGCCAGCTGCATCCAGCGAAAATAGCAGCAGACATGTTCAGAGAAAGACAAAGTGGGCGCCTGACCTCGCTTTGGACCCCGTCGTGTGCAAAGGAAGGGCTTTGGCTTACCAGGTATCGTACTATCTCTTATCACTCTCCTCTTTCACCTCCATGGGTTTACGCTTCTAGCCTGCTCTATCTCTTGGCATCCATTGTTATATGCACCACTATCATCTTTTGCATTTTGATTGATGTGATATGTTTAGTTCAACTTGTACCTACTGGTTACATTATGCTACCTTTTCTCAGTAAAAATAATCCTTGGAAATAGCCTGAGACAGTTCTAAATAATTCCATATTACTTCCAGTCAAAAGGATGTCTAACTTGAGGGTCTTTTCTTAAAATATTTCTTTCTCTTGGTAGCCTGGTACCTGTGTCAATCTACATTAAAAAATTAAGCAAGGATAGTATGCACACATTTTTGTAACCCCTTTAGAAATTTAGGACTTGCTTCATACTTCACTTCCTTTGACTAGAACAGGAATGCTGAACAACTCACTATTGAGTGAGCATTATTTTGGAGGGTAGGCTAAAAAATATCATTATTTTAATACTTTTATTGAAAGGATAAGCCCAGCCTCCCCACTGACTGGACAGAAATGGGCATTTTTCTTGCGATTCTCTCATGTACGATGCTTCGATTGCCAGGTGTCATTAATTCATATTAGTTCATGAGCAGACTCGAGTGGAGCAAATTACCAAGCAGCTGAAGTCTGGAACTTTGGATACGTCCGAAATTGATGGTTCAGTGTCTGCTGGAAATGATTTGAATTCTATTGATTCTGACATCTTGAAAGAGAACGAGGTATTCCCAATTTGAATGCTGTCACCACTACATATGGTCTACACTTTGGCAATTTTTTTTGGATGTGAGCCCATAGTGTGTCAAGATAAAACAATTATATGCTCCCATTTGGTAATCGTCTTTTACTCTTTTTGCAGCTGGGAAATGTTGAACTATTAGAACTTGAAAGACGAGAGCTTATTGGTCAGAGAAGCTATCCTCTTCTCCTGTATTCATGTGCTTCGTTTAATTACTGAAGTGAAAATAAATGTGCCTGAGTCAATGCATCTTGGTGCTAATGGGGCCATGGGGTTCCTTTATCGAGTAGTATCTTGCTTGATAATGCATGTAGTTGCTTGAACAAAAATATGTTAGGTTCTTCTTAATTGTTATTGGCCATGTGAAACATATTTATTTAGTCTCCAAGAAAATCTGTAGTCCTAACTGTGGTGCATATTATCTGTAGGTGAAATACTCCGTTTAAATCCAGGATATAAGACGCCTGAGAACTACAAACCAGTGCTTAAGGAGTCAAAAGTCCCTCTTCCGGTATGTAAGGTCACTATCTCATCATGCTTATTGCTTGTTTTGACCTTTAGCCATTAATTAGTTGTTTTGCTCGTATGCAAAGATGCCGTTGACCTTTTGGTTCTTTTGCCACTATATTTCTGATACTCCAAGAGTTCCTTGTACTTGGACAATCGAGGTACACCAGTAGGAGCTTATCTTAATTTTCCTTTGTAATGTACTAGAATTATGCATCACAGCTTGGGTTGTCTCCAAGAGTAGTGTATTTCTGATTGATCTGTTTTTTTATCTATGATGTGCTATACTTCATTTTGGTATTAATATTTAGCCTTTTGTTAAAATTTGATAGATCTTTTTAAGTTCTCATCATGTCCCTGGTTAGAGGGGCGTGCAGAATGTTGGGTGATTGTGGGTGGTAGGGTGAACGGATGCCGAACCGAGCACTTGGGATTGGACACGCTGGGGACGGTGGCCAATCTCAAGGCCCGGGGACTGAGGTAGATGAGGATATCTCCTGGCAGAATTTTGCTTACTTACAATTAATACAACTCCCCTTTTTTGTATATATAGAGAGATTTACTTGACTCCTAACAAAGGTGGCTAATCTTCTCTCTAATCCTAACCCTAATGAGCCTTCCTTACTTCCGATCTGGCCCATAAGGTCTAGCTGACTGCCCATGACATTTACTGTCTGCTGTTGGCCATTGCAGGCAGAAGCACATCCAGGACATAATATTATTGGAGTTCTTCTAGGACCTGAAAGCAATACCCAGAAGCGACTGCATGAAGTATGGTCTATTCTTGGAAATCTTATGATATTATTTTGTTGAAACATCCCTGAGAGCAGTCTATTTGTTAAACTGTTGGCTTCATTCACACATGGCAGGAAACTGGAGCTGTCATTCGAGTATATGGGACTAAGAAAATCAATGGAGAAAAGGTATATTTTGCTAAGATAATTTTCAGAGCGATTTTTAAATGTCCTGTTCCATTTTGCAGTCCTTTTTGTCATAATTTTTTATTTATCTTGATGTTCATTCTACAGCACATCATTTTGTTGTGTGTTGTCCTTATAGTAAATAACTTCTATAGCAACTTCAACACAATAGACAAATGAAGCACCTTTTTTTTGTCATGCTCAGAGTGAGATTCGTCATCAAGACATAAATGAAGTACAAGATGCTTATGAAGACCTATACATCAATGTATCGGCTGACTCTTATGATAAAGTAGATGCTGCAGTTGTGTTGATTGAGCTGCTTCTTGCTCCTGTTTCTGTAAGTCCAGCATGCCTTTCTTCCCCCTCAAAATCAGTTTGTTGTCAACTGACCATGGAGTCATTTGGACCTTTTAGGTGAAGTCAACAGCTACTTCAACAACTACTGCTGTTCCTTCAGCAGTTACCTCCAAGGATGCAGTTTCAGCAAATGTGCAACTGGTGCAGAATACCACTTCACAGCCAGATTTACTTCATTACCAATCACACAATGCTCCTTGGCTGCCCACACCCCAGACCAATGCTCCATCAATACCTTCTACGGGGCCTGTTTTGAGTACATTACCTAACAATTCATTGCAGCCACAACCGCCTGCTGGTTCTTTTAGTATGCCTCCATATACAGGTCAACCTCCTCACATGAATAGCATGCCAAGAAATCCATTTCCTGTTCCTGGGCCTCAGCAATCAACACCAAGCAATCAACAACATCCACCTCAATTTCGAGCTAATAACTCCTCAATTGGGCCTTCTTTTGGTCAACCGCCTGGTATTGTAAGCCCACACATGACACCATCTTCCTCAATGCCACCGCCAGTTAGACCTCTTCAAATACCCCATCCATCTGGTGGTTGGCCACCTTTTTCTCCTGTTATGCCGCAATCTCAGAGGCCTCTGCAAGCTTCACCAACTTTTATGGCAGTGAGACGACCTATTTCTGTCTCTCCTGTCGGTGCAACTCCACCACAAGGTCCCATTGCATTGACACCATCAAATATGCCCACCATGTACCGCAGCCAGCATCCACCAGTACCAAATTTCACTGGTTCAGCACCATTGGTTTCCAGGCCTCCTGGCGGAGCTCAGTCTTTTCCTACAGCTGCGCCTCAAGGTCCTTCCTCAGTAGCATTTCCTGGTGGGGCATCACCGCAGTCACCTTACCCTCCAACACCTGATCAAATGAGAGGGCCACCTCCAGCTTTCTCTCCAGTTGGATCAACTCCTGGCATGGTGCCTCCATCAATTGCATCTTCCGGCGCGCCTGCCCCAGGTCCTGCAAACACAAGCGGCAGTCAGGCACAAATAGCCCCTTTGAGACCTCCACTCCCAGTCACGGGCGATTTTACTTTTCGGCCTGTCGTATCACCAGTACCTACTCCAGACTTCGCAGCATCAAACCATCAAATGGGAAGACAAGACAGAACTCACCCTGGACCATTCTTCCATCATAGTAACCAGAACCCCAATCAAGGTTTCCAAAGGCCTTTTGATGGCAGGCCCATGAATATGATGGGTCAGGCTCAGATGCATCCTCCACCTCCACACTTCCATGGAGCCTTCCCCAGGAATCCATCTCCTCTCGAGTTCACTGCGGGGTTCCGGGGGGTCTGGCCAGCAGTACAAGCACCTCAGATGCCGGCGCCATCAAATCCGTCGAGTTTCCTGCCTTCCCGGCCATTTCAGTTGAGGCCACCGCCACAACAGGATATGTCTGGTGCAGGTGGAAACAGGCCGGGTGGCAATCAAATCTACAACCCTTTTGCACCAACGGCAGCTCAGAGAACAGAGGCTGACCCTGAGTATGAGGATCTCATGGCATCAGTTGGCGTGAAGTAGAGACGACTATCCCTGATGTGCTGGAAGTCGGTCCAAGCTGTGGTGACACAAACACAAAGGCTACTATTGCTTGCCAAGATGTGCGAGTTACTAATCTCCCATGTCTCTCTAGATGACTAGATAGTGAATTCCATCTCCTATGTATCTCTAGATGACTAGATAGTGAATTCCATCAAAGGCGGATGCCTGAAAAAAAAAATGAGTGGACGTTGTTTGAGACATGCTGTTGGGTGTCAAGGTTGTGTTGTGGCATCTCAAAATCTCATGCATGTTTACTCCCGGCATCAGTTGATGTTTATTTTATGGAGAGGAATTTGTGAGCCTGTTATTAAAAGAGCTGGAAGATAATAGAGTTTATAGTGCTTGGTATTATTATATGTATACACATGCAAGAATGGAGTGGAATATGATAGAATTCGGTATGTTTTGTGATGTCCATGTTTTTTTTTTATTTCATGATGTCCATGTCAAGTGAATGAATCATCATGATAATTAAAAAAAATGAGTAAATGACTAGCGCATCTGCAAACTTGTTGGGAGATTTGTACGGCTGGTGTATAAGTCGGGTTTGTTGGGAGAGAAAAACACTGTACCATGACTGATAAGCCGACTTATTAGAGCAGCCGAACGGAGCGTTGGTTGCGTTGTACTGTGACTTAACTTGTTTATACAGGAAGCTAGATCTCGCCAATCACAAACACAAACACGTTAATTCATCCTCTTGCTCAAACACCAAACACATGGGCACGCTCGATTTCCAGATCGAGGAGAGGAGAGGAGAGGAGAGGTTCGCGAAGAGGTGAGAGTCGATTCACCGAGCTGAACGTGGTTGTCGTATCAATGGGCTTTTATTATCATGCTTTTCAGCCCATGACATGCGAGTGCCCTCAACCAATGCTAACCGTGACGGTGCGCTCCTTCACGATGTCAGAATAAGGACACAAGAAATTAAAGGTGATATATATAATTTAAGTAAAGGTTTTCAACTAATATACTTATTAAAACCCCACTGAGGCGCAATATAAATAATAAAAATATATAGAGAGTAATTGGTGAACTGATCACAGTAGAATAAAGATTATAGAGTATCTATAAATCAGTATTGTGTTAGCAAATGAATAGAGAGTAGAGATAATCACTTTTCCTTATTTGTATCTATTAAATTTATCCACAAAATTTTCATTACTTATGTAGTGTAAGGTTCTTGGTCATAGTAGACTATGAGTTGGACTGATATAATAGGAAAATATTCTTGCAATTGTGAAAACCCCCTTGAAACATATTTCTAAGAATTTTAATTTTTTTTGCACATCCTAGTGCATCTATAGGTGTACATTGTTACAAATGATGAGATCTAAATTCAGTATAAAAAGTTCATATGAAAATAACGAAACTCATGTGCTGTGCGCTAGAAGACAAAATATCATAATTCTGTCTCCTAGCACATATGCATCTAAAATTTATCATTTTCATGTGAACTTCAGAAACTGATTTTGCATCTTAACTTTTGCGATTATGTACATTTATGGATGCACTATGGATATAATCGTTTAATTTTCTTTTAAAAAAACCTTCTAGGTATGTATACTCAAGGATTTTTCATAATTATACCAAATGGGTGGTTTACACTGGATCGATATTTCACCCGGTATGGTCAAGATTTGAAACCGTTAACACACTCTGTCTCTCGTGAGTCCAATATATCGTGAGTCGTACGTACACTCTCTGTCTCTCTGCAACCTAAACAGCATATTCTTGCAAAAGATAAAAAGAATATTACAAGGACATCATATTCCACGTGAATCGCGGGACCCGATTCTCGAATTACCTGTGTACGCTGACGCCAGAACAGAACGGCCAATGTCCATCCGGCCATCATTCATTGTTCATCTAAAAAAATAAATAAAAGCCATCATTTTGTAGATCGATCTGGGTCGTTTGTAAAGATTTCCCTCTGATCTGATCTTCCGTGCATTAATTGCGAGTATCAGTCCTCCAGGATCATATCGTGTCGTTGTGTAAACACACTGTCATGGGATCGTGTCATGTCTCCAAAGGCTTTCGTTCGCTTCGTTGAAAAAAATAAACCGAAACATTGTTCCGGCTGATTTGTTGTGAGAGAAAAATACTGTTTCGATTAAATCCCTGTTCGTTTTGCATCTACACGTGGTGTTAGCAAATAAGCTAAAAAATACGGATTATAAGACAAACGAACATACCTTTGATCTGCTCACCACGTGTGTGCAGGATTTCCCAGTTGCTGTACAGTGTAGAGTACTCCTGATCCTCAAATTTGTTGGGATGCAGCTAGCTGTCCCTTTTCTATTATTCCTTTCCTGAATGCATGAATCCAAACACAATAAAGAAGAGATTAAAAAAGAGGCAAATATTAAGAAGAGAAGATCTTCTGGAGTGGACGGCGACAAGTCCTTTAATCCCTGGAGTCAGAGGGCATGATTATTTGGTTGCGTCTTAATCTTTGAATAAAGAAGAGATTAAAAATTTGGTTTTTTTTAAGAAGAGAAGATCTTCTGGAGTGGATGGCGACAAGTCCTTTAATCCCTGGAGTAAGAGAAACCAACTTTCCGACTGGAAAATTTTGCAGATGGAGACACGATACTACCACCGTGTGTCATTATTTTTTTAAAAGCGAAAGTCTGCAACTCAGTTGAATTATGAAATAAAGTAAGTCTAAACATAAGTACATAACACACGCGGCGCAGTCTAGCTCAAGTCAAACTATCTTTAACTTTGACAAAGTTTATATAAAATAGTATCGATATTTATGGATTCAAATAGGTATACTATGAAAATATATTCTAAATTTAATGACATATATTTAATATGTTAAATATTGATATACTTTTATACATATTTGGTTGAACTTAAAAGGTACGACTGATCAAGGCTCACACTTTAATATTGATATACTTTTATACGATATTTTAAAACTAGACCATGTTTAGAAAACAACTCAAGAGGCCAAAAAACTAGACCATTTTAAATATAGCATTAACATATATGTAACATCTTTAGAAGAAAACATGAACTAGTTTCATATTTTTATAATTTAAAATAAATTAATTATGAACTTCTAGAGATCGAACCGGATTTTTATTATTATTAGAAAATAGCAATACTACGTAAAGAAAAGGGGATATGAAATATCCATAGTGAAAACCGCTTTTGAAACCGGCCAAGAACTAAATTTGTCTGGTTTTGACAGTTGGAGGGTGTTTGTTACCCGGCTTCATAGTTGAAGGTTGAAAATCAAACTTCAATGCGAGTTGGAAGTTGAAAATTGTACTTTACCATAAAAAAAGAGAGGCAAATGATAAGTGGAGAAGATCTTCTGGGGTGGGATGGCGACAAGTCGTTTAATCCCGGGAATAAGGGAACGAACTTTCAGGCTGCCATTCAGTTGAATTATGAAATAAAGTAAGTCTAAACATAACACACTACCCAACGTCTAACTTTGACTGAAGTTTACATAAAATAATATCAATATTTATGACTTTAAATAGATATACTATGATAATATATTCTATGATTAATTTAAGGGAGAATTGTTTGTTGGACATCCAAAGTAATGGTCCTTTGCTGGCGGACACCCCGTTTTGAGCAATTTGCAGGCAAGACACTGCGTTCGGTGAAATGAGGGACAGGAGGCGGCGCGAGACGCTGCCAGCGCCACCGCGGTTGAGGAGAGAGAATAGAGTGAAATGTCATTCTTGCCCGCCGCTTTCTTCTCTTTCGCTTTCTCTTTCTTTTGGCGGACCCCCATGTAGAGCATGGACCGCCCGTGATGGTGAGCGGCGGCGCCACCGCACTGTGAGCGCGCGTGGGAGACTTCGTCCGGTGTGGTGGAGGGAGCGGATCCATGCCGGAAGGGCCTCGTCCGAAGCGGTGGGCAAGGAGAAAGCGCGAGAGGGCTCGCCTACCTACAAGGACCTCGTCGGGAAGGCGCGCGCGCTGCCGTCGGGAGGCTTATGAGGCCCGAGGGGAGGCTGTCGACAAGCTCCACACGCAAGCGGAGCACCCTGACGCCCGTCGCGCTCGGCATGGAGGAGTAGATGGGCACGTTGAGTACGGGCGCCACGCAGACGCGGCACCAGCACGAGCAAGCTCCATGCAAAGCGGAACGAGCCGATAATAATGCTGAGAGCTCCACCGAGGCCGTTGAACATTTCACATTGATTTTATGTGTTTTATTTTTTAAATCGGTTAATCAGTCCCTAAAGACTGCGGACATCCAAACGTAGTCCGACGCAACGCGGCTTGCCGCGACGTTTCAAAATGGATCTCGAGAGAGGTAAAATCACAAAGTTAAAAAAATTCCGGTAAAATCACAATTGCTTCGCCCACTTGCGCGCTACGGACGGCCTCGCTAGCCGGCGCAAAAACACCGTTTTCCCTATTTTAAAACTAGACCATGTTTAGAAACACAACTCAAGAGGCCAAAAACTAGACCATTTTAAATATAGCATCAACATATATGTAACATCTTTAGAAGAAAACATGAACTAGTTTCATATTTTTATAATTTAAAATAAATAAATTATGAACTTTTAGAGATCGAATCGGATTTTTATTATTATTAGAAAATAGCAATACTACGTAAAGAAAAGGGGATATGAAATATCCATAGTGAAAATCGCTTTTGAAACTCGCCGAGAACCAAATTTGTCCGGTTTTAACAGTTGGAGGGTGTTTGTTACCCGGTTTCATAGTTGAAGGTTGAAAATCAAACTTCAATACGAGTTGGAGGTTAAAAAATATATTTTACCCTAAAAAAAAGAGGCAAATGATAAGTGGAGAAGATCTTCTGGGGTGGGATGGCGACAAGTCGTTTAATCCTGGGAATCAGAGAACGAACTTTCAGGCTGCCATTCAGTTGAATTATGAAATAAAGTAAGTCTAAACATAACACACGCGGTGCAGTCTACCCAACGTCTAACTTTGGCAAAGTTTACACGAAATAATATCGATATTTATGACTT